GAGTTAGTTATTTGTATTATTGGTAGTTTAGTGAGTTGTAAGCCCAACATAGTGGGATAGGAGGGTGGTGTCATGCCCCAATTTACAAAAATAAGGATGAACCTTTTTTTTTTTTGGGAGAGAGAATGGACATGAACATTTGACCTTCAGAAGGTAAAGTCTTCACAATACAAGGAGTATTATTGGACCAATAGTTCATTAGTATGCATGAACTAACTATATTAACCATCAAACCATGAGAGCATAATTAAATACTATAAATTTAAATTAAAACAATAATATTCAACTCCATCTAACTAAAAATCTCACCAAAAAAAAAATACATAATTTAATCAATAAAGTTAAACCAAAACCTTTAAATAAACTAAATGTCTCATCCAACTAAAATATTATTAATAGCATTTATCCATCATACACCAAATGACCTAAAGTAGATAAACTTTTCCAAATCTAGACAATGTTTAGAAAATGAATAAAATAGGGAGGTCTAAATTCCAACACAATAACATATGTAACTTCTGAAATAAAACATGTGACATTTGTAACAATCTCAGGTTTACAATATGTGAACAATAAATTCATAGCATAATAAAATTATTCAAAAAAATCAGCTCTTAGCTATCCCAAGGTTTTTCAACCTCCTAGATTTAATGTTAATGTTATTTTGACCTAAAAATATTTAGAAATAACCTATCTACCATTCTCAAACTTAAATACCTCTGAAACTATATTTGACTCAAAAGTCAATACTCATGAAACTCAAACTTCATGTCCATCTTTTCAACAATGATTCGAAATTCCTATCATCATTTTAATCATTTTAGAGGTACTCTTAAAATAATATTATCCATATTTATTTATTTTACGGGGTCTCAAATTCCATCACCCTAAAAGAAGTTTCATTCTCGAAACTTAGTTGTCGACCCAAGGTACCTAATTTCAATTGATCACAAGATCTCAACGCCTATTTATCCTTTAAGCTTCAAATCCAAAATGAGAATAGATTTCCCATATTCTAAATTTTATAATCCATCCCTGCAACTTGTACCATCATTCCAGTTATTAAAAGTTCACAAGACTACCTTCATTCACTAGCATTCATTTATCACCCTTATTCTCAATATTCGACTATCCCTTATCCTCAATAATTCTATACGATTGTCTGAACTAATTTTTTATCATGCATAACTACTAGATCAACTTAATTGTCTAGTCATCAAATACCATTTTTCTTTTGAATTCACTAAACCTAAAGATTGGCTCTTGCATGTATCATTCCAATACTGAAATCATAGTATAACACAAAACTTAGTAATAACATTACAGTAAAATTTACCTTGATTCCTGAAATAGATACAGTTTGCTTAATCATTTTGTCTCTCACTAGCCTAGAGAAATTCATAATCTTTGAAATCTAATAATAATTTCAATTCCCTACTACACACTCGCACATAAATCAAATCTTCTGTTAGATTGTACACCAATGTACAATTTCTCACTACACTCTGATTCATCTTTCCTCACATTCCATCTCGTCATTACAGTTGTTCAAGATACCATGACACTCTTGTCCTATTCAATCCTATGGACAATCAAAAGTCTTGGTGATTTGGTGGATACTACAAGGTTTCCAACTGTTATAATCATCAAACTATACACCTAGTTATCAAAGAGATTGTTTATTACTTTTCAAGTTTATACTTTTTACATTCGCCTGTATAACCATAACTAACGGTTAGTCTCAATAATATTAATTCCAACAAACACTTTCGCTACGCACTCTAACACCAATTATAGTTAGAAAAATTAGCTCTCCAATTCAACTTTGTTGGGACTAGCAATAGATAAGGATTGCCCCAAAGTTCAAATGTTTGGTAAAGATATGTTGGATTTTCCTCAAGTTTATAAATAAAAACTAACCATACATGTCTTCCAACTATATCTTTCACATCATCTATACCACCAATCCATCCTTCACCTCCATAGGAAATTTTAGTAAATAACCTAGTATAATAGTTGGGCTTAGGGTCAACTTATATCTCCAATACTCCTCGTACCTACAGTTCTCAACTCCGACTTATTTAGATCTATCTAAATGAAGGATTATGACAGACAGGGAAAAAAAACTTCTTATTCCCACAATAAAACTCTAATAACACTATATTCCATACCACAATAAAATTTCACAACAATCATTGAGTATCATCCTTGTTCCAATGATTGTCCACTATATTTGACCTTGAGCTTTTGAAAATCTATAGTCTTTGGTCCAACAATATTAAGAGTCAAAAGATAACCGCCGATAATTAATTAAACTTTCTAGGTTTTCTTACCATATGTCTCTAAATCTTTACCTATACCCTTGATCTCAATTCTCAATTAAAATTTGTGTGTACAAGTCAATTATCAACTACAAACTCAACCAAGAGACCCAATTATTAATAAATTTAGAGAGTCTACGTATAATGAACTATGCCCACTGTGAGATAAGATTGTCTAATTACATTGTGCTCTATTGGTCTTTCGTTTATGACCTTTCGAAGCGATTCGATAACCATAATGTACCAAAATTTGTGTTATCACTTTACTTTTAATTCTACCTAGTGCAATACCGTCCAACTCGCCATAATACTTCCATACTAATACTTATACTCTCACATAAGTGGTTATTGAGAGACATCCAATCTATCTAGGAAATATAACCATAATTCCTACCCTTACTTCTAAAACTGACACCCATTCGTGCTTATTTTATTATATCACTCCAGTTGATCATATTATATCATCTCATACAATTGTAATCATCTCGGGAAGACATATCAATCCTATAGTTTTCACCATAAAACAAAATCTGCAACTGTCCCTCACTTTCCTAGCCTTTGGAGTAACTCATATAACTTTACATAACCATCACTATACCAAGTCTTAATTATGTTAAGAACGCCGTAGTTGACTCTATCTCTATGAAAGAAAATAATAGAAAGCGAATATGAAATATATATTGCTTTGGTGTGTCTTACCATATACATGAGGAGGTTGATTTATAGTACAAGAGAGTAGTGAGGTTTCCTAGTCTAACCGATATGGGATAAACATATAAACATTAACATTTTCCCTCAAATTCAAGGTGGGATTGAAGATGCCAACTGGAGTTTGCAAATCAAACCATGGTGGTGACCAAGTGGATGAGTATTCAGAGGGAGCCGAGAAGTTACTAGAGGACGGCAAAAACAGATAAAAATGTCACTAGAAGAAGACCGAGGCAAATCATCACATCATTGGAAGATGGTCGAAACAGATCGAAACGTCATTAGAAGATGGCCAGAGTAGGTCGAAACTTTACCGAAAGATGGCCGAAGCACATCGGAGGATGGCTAGAGCAACCTCCTAATGTATATGGTAAGACACACCAACCTCCTAATATATATATTTGATATTTGATTTCTATTATTTTCTTTCACGCGGTATTAGAGCCAATTTTATGAGTCCTTCTAGCCAAAATATAGTATGCTCGGTGGTTGTCCTGCAAGGGATCCTCTACATTAGAACCCTTGAGGCTTTTCTCCTTGGGGATGTCTTTCAACAACATCTTTTGGTCATTCTCCATAGCCATCCTCAAGTTCTCTTTTCGGCCATCATCCGGCTCTATTCCAGCTATCTTTGACACCATTTCGGTAGCATTTGGCGACGTAGTGATTTGCCCTTAGCCATCCTCCAATGATCTTTTGGTTGCCCTCCAATGATCACTACAACAAAAAGCTTTTTTTTCGACAATTTTAAATTTGTCGCAAAAAGTTTAGTATTAGCGACGCTTTTTATATTTTTGTCGCAATTTCTATTTTGACAAGTTTTTCGCGATGTTTTTAAAAAAACATCGCGAAAAGGGGATTTCGCCTAATAGTTTTTTGGCGGGAATTGACAATTTTTCGCAACAAACATTTTTCGTTGCTATTAGTTTTATATCGTCGCTAAAATAGATAATCTAAAATTTAAAGCAAAATAAAGTCTAAATTTCAATTTTTGACATTTTTTGCGACGTTTTCAGAACGTCGCCAAAAGGTGACACTCTCCTAATTCTACTGGCAGGGAAAATTGCGAAAAATTGCAAATTTAATTATTTTTTGCGACGTTTTTTCAAAAACATCTCCAATAGGAAATTTTGTAAATAAAAAATTTTAAAAATAACAATCTAGTTGTTTTTTCGCGACGTTTTTGGAAAACGTCGCAAATAGTAAAATTTTTGTAAATAAAAAAATTAAAAAATAGGAATCTAATTGTTTTTTCGCGACGTTTTCAAAAAACGTCGCCAATAGTAAAATTTTCGTAAAAAAAAAATTAAAAATAACAATTCGTGACATTTTAGCAAACGTCGCCAATAGTTTTTTAAAATTAAAAATAACAATTTACTTCATTTTTTACGACGTTTTTAAAAAATGTCGCAAATAGTAAACTTTTTCGTAACTAAAAAATTAAAAAATAACAATTCGCGACAGTTTTATAAAACGTCGCAAATAGTAAATTTCGTAAATAAAAATTTTAAAAATAGCAATCTAATTGTTTTAAAAAATGACAATCTAATTGTTGTTTTGTGACGTTTTAAAAACACGTCGCAAATAGTTAAATTTTTCATAAATAAAAGAATTAAAAAATAACAATCTATTTTTTTTTTCGCGACGGTTTCAAAAAAACGTCGCAACTAGTAAACTTTTTCGTAAATAAAAAAATTTAAAAATAACAATCTACTTTTTGGGCAACGTTTTTGTAAAACGTCGGAAATAGTATACTCTTCTTTCCCCCTCTTTTTTTCCCTCCTGCCAACTACGCCATACATATCTCCCCCATCTCTCTCCGCCAGTGACCCTAGAACACCGCCAACCATCGAACACAGTCAGCGACGCCATTGAACATTGCTGCCAGCGACACCATCCCTCTTGGGCTTAGGTAACCCCCCCTCTCTCTCTCTCTCCATCCATCCATATATTGTTTCTTCCATTGGTCCAATGGTGACCAAGGTCCAGTCCAGAATTGCCAACCCATTATTATTGCTTCCATTCAACTTCAACCTCCATCCCTTACTAATTTTCAAATATTTTCTTTGTTGATCTCCCTCCTACCAATTACCCTTTTTCCCTCATTCTCACTTTCCCCATCTCCCACTATTTGTTTATTTCAGTCGACACACGATACTCTATCTCCCTCTTTGATTGGGGCTGTGATTAGGAGAAGGCAGTGGAAGGCGGTCTTCTCTTCTTCTCCAGTCCAGACGACGCATAGGCATAACCAGCAACTCCTCAACTTAGCTCTCGAACTCTCCAGTCCAGACACACAAACATTTGATTTCGGTTTGTAAGTCTTCTATTCTTTTCTTTTCTCTTCTCTTCTCTTATCTCTCTCTCTCTCTCTCTCTCTCTCTCTCTCTCTCTCACACACACACACACACACAGAGCCAGGATTCACGATTCACGAATCTCAGTCCATTCAATCTTTCTTCTTTCCTTTATTTCCCCATCTCTTAGTCTCTCTTCCTGTCTCAATCTGACACACACATAACACACTCACTCAATTTGCAAGTTACACACTCACATCACACACACCTAATTGACAAATATCAACATATATAAACCTAATTGAATTAAATTTGTAATTTTAATTAGGAATTTAGGATACTACTTTGTCCAAATTATGCTTTAATCAAGTGACTTGAAGATCTACTTTGAACTAGTTAGGTTCGTTGGTTGCTTGTGTGAAAACAGTGTCACTTAATCTTTTTATTGTCCATAAATTTTAACTAACTCGTGGTTATTGTGCTCTGAATCAACCAACGAAGATGTTTCAAAGTTATTAATTTAATGTTATTTTGATAAATTTAACTTGAAAATTTCCCAGGAGAATGTTTTCAACATATGCAGTAATACTGGAGGTGAGAAATCGACAGTGAAGCCACAAGCCCCAATCAAACTCGAAGCCTTCATCCTCTTTCTCTCAGACCATCGAGAAAGAGCAAAGCATTACTATGAACAACAGAAGAAAATTGTTGATGAACTGCGGGCATCTGAGCAGGTTGATGCTGACTACAATTTTCGGTTTCGGTCTAATTACATTCTATGTAAAATATTGTTGTTCAACTTCATCAGAATGTCAAGTTGGTAAAAGAGCTGAAACTATGAATAAAAGAGTTGGAAGGAGCCGTGGTTGAATCCACCAAGGATTTTGATTTGTCGAAGAGGTAAAGCAATTCTTTGGTTTTCTCACTATCCAACATCTCAGTTACCATTAGCATGGTAATCAAGAAACACATGTTTCACAGAATTTGAAATACTATTTGATCTTGTTACCCCTTGTGTAATGGATTGTTAAAATAAATTATAATGAATTTTAATCTTTGATTTACATTTCTGTTTATTTATGCTTATGGGACTGGGTGTGCTGCGTGGTGTTCTCTGTTATGCTATGTGATGCTATTCTTTTCTGTGTTCCTATCATGGTGAATCAGATTCAATTGTTCCTTTTCATTATAAGAGGGAAACTCATGTGAACATTTGCATTCAAAAGAAGTTTGTGTAAATTTGAAAGTTCTCTGTGGTTTATCAGAATGGGGAAGGGGATGGTGTCTTCTGCTGGTTCTGCGCCTCTTCTACTGTTTCTGCTTGGGCTTCTGGTTCTCTTGTGTTTCCTCTGTTTCCATTGGATGCCATTCAAGGCAAAGCTGCTACATCATCAGGAACAACACCATTAGGAGAGGAGGGGTTATCTTTCTTAGGCGATCCTCTCTGTCTCTCTTCCTACCTTTGGACTTTGTTGTTCACTTTTCCTGATGCATTCAAGTCAGATGATGCTCCTTCAGCTGGATATTATTGGGTTGCTCCCCTTCCTCTTCTGCCTTTTATCTCTTGGTTTATCTCAGCTGAGGTTTTCCTTGTTGGGTTGGATGTACTGCACTTTCATTTATGATCTTTCAGTTGCCCCTCCCAGCTAGGGGTCAGCTGGGGGCTCTCTTCTGGCATGCTCCTGGGGATGTTTCTACTGTTTTTGCCAGCCCTCTGTTGCCCCGCTTGTTGTTGCTTGCCTCGCCTGGTTCCAGCTGACTGTTCAGCTGGTCATTTTGTTGTCCAGCTAGACCCTCAGCTGGTTTTCAGTCGTTTCTCGTCTTTTGGGTTGCTGATGGGTCCTCCTCCCTCCATGAAGATTTCGTCTCCCCTTTCTTCTTGTCTTGTAGGATTACAGCCATTGGCTTGGTCCCCTTTTGTTGCTTGTTGGTTCTGTGCTTCTTGTAATTATTCCTTTCATATTTTTCATTTTCTTTAAAAAAAAAAATATATGGTTCTGCACTGTTAACTACTTGCACAGTGCACTGTTAACTATTATATTGTTTGTGTTATGTATATGGTCCAGAGTGCCTCAGATAACAACAGTTGTTATAGGTGTAGATGTTGCTGATGGTAAAGGATAAGGTACCACTTGTACCAGAAGCATTATAGGTGTAGATTTTACACTCACAAACATAAGTCTCTTGACAGTGGTCCATGTAGGAATTTTTTTTGTTGTATTTACATATGCTATGTTCCTTGGATTTTGATTGCTCTTCGTACAACTATACTGTCAAACTTTTGAAGCCTTCGTTGAGGCTTTTGGCAATACAATTTATGCCCCAAGGTTGTGACTTGTGAGCCTCTGCCTCCTTCAGGAAAATTTTTTGTTGCTATAATTGCTCAATTAATCAATTTTACTAATCTTTAAAACAGGTCTGTAGTCATATTTTGTATAAAAGTAGTTCAAAGAATCACTTAAAATGATGCCTTTTTTTATGTGTTTATTTCCTTTAACAGGGTGTGGAAACATGTTGTTGAGCTATACAACATTTGTCACAGTAAAATGGAGGAAATTGTTCCAAAGGGCATCATGGTGAGGTATGCACTAAATATTCAACATACCTATTTTGTTTTTGAGCCATTATTTTCTAAGTCACGTCACTTCAACATTGTCTTATATTTAAACCCCTTCCCCTACAGTATTCTTACTGAATACATTAGTCTTACAATGTTCATGCCACTTGGGCTATTTCATCTAATTTCTTGGTTCCAGCTTGGGGTTCTAGGATGCAATGGTTTTCTTTGCTGCTGGGGTGGTTTGAAAGCTACCTATTTCTGAGGTGCTGATCCTCTCAGCTGATCCATGTTTTTTGGGATTGAATGATGGTGGCTGCTGCATATTTTGGACCAAGTTTATATGATTTTTTAAAGAGAAATAGATACTGCCCATTACCTGTGGATCTTGTTCGGGAATTTGGACGTCAGCTTTTGGAATCTGTAGCATGTATGTGGATTAATCTTGGCCTTGAATTATATCTCTATTTTCGTATTCTTTTCCTTTTCTGATCAATTTTTTGGGATTTGTTTTTTGACATGTTCTTTTTGTCCAGGGTGTAGCAGCAGATGTATAATTGTGAGATTTCTTGTTTGACATTTTTTTATGATTTGTCATATCCAACAGATATGCATGATTTACGGTTAATTCACACTAACCTGAAGCCTGAAAATATACTGGACTGTGTTTTTGGAATGGGCTTTAGTCTAGACTTGATCCACGTGTTTGAGGTATTTTGGTTGCTTGATTTGTATGCTTCCATAAAAAATCGAACAGAAAATAAACTAGGAGGAGGCAGAAAACCTCTTACGAGTAGCATTGATCCCCCGTTGATCATGTTGTCGTAAAAGTCTGATAGAGAAAGACATATCACCTTGATACAATCCTATTAAAGTATTCTATCCAACTTTTTAATAGTGTATTTCATTTTTTCTGTTTTGCCATTTATTCTTGGTTCATGTATTATGTTCTTAGTTTTTTTAAAAAAAATTAGTTGTGGTAATATATTATCGCTATATGTTTTAGGCTAAGCTTCTGATTACTTCTTGTTCAATGTCAAAGTTTCATTTAAATTCACAATTGAAATGTCTTTCTTATGTGTCATATCTCAGGTGAACTGTGTTGTAATGCGTGGATTCAATGACGATGAAATCTGTGATTTCGTAGATCCAAGTAAGGCTTGGTACACAACCCATTTCACATGTGAAAGCTAAAATCATACATTTTTGCATTCATGCTGTGTGGATTGCTAATCATTTGTTGTTGATGCAACAACCTATATTGTACTAGCATCTACATAGTTCTGTCTTCATGCTTATGTTTGTTTTCTTTGTTGTGATTTTGTGGCATTTTGTGGGCAATCAATAACATAATCTGTGGTCTTTTCTGCATGATTGTAGCGAGTGCATGTCTTATTTCGATTTGGGATCACTTTCAGTTTTTTTCTCTTAATTCTCTTCAATTATAAATGACGTATTGGTCAATGATAAGTGATCTACCATTAACAGAAATGAAGAAAATGCAGCAATAGGGGTAATCATAGAAACAAATGATGAAAAGGTTGTTGAGGTAAGTTGCTCAGTTCTGAAATTGTGATACTGGCTAGCACTGCACTAATTTTTCTCTTAGTTTATCCAAACTACTTTATCAACACTTGTTTCCATTGTAAATGATTCATCTCTCTTTCAATACTCTTATTTTGCTTTTATTAATTTTTCAGAAAGTGGTATTCTGCCACTGGATGGATGGTTAGTTTTGCATCAGCATCAGTCCAGGATCCCTATTGCTCGGAGGAGAAAGGTTGTGTGTGGTGGTCAGTTTGATTATGTAGATCCTGCACGGATAGTGTTGAGCTTTGACATGATATTTCAATGCATGGAGCTGCACTGTTGGAACTGTTCAAGTTTAAGAGACATTAAATGTAATTAGAGATGGTTTAAATCCTCTTGAAGGATTAAAGTTGTTTTTTCTATTTTTAGGACTTTTTGTTCTTTGATTCTTGTAATTCATTCTTTTTGGAAATAAAATTTTATTTTTTTATAAAAAAAGATGTTAAATGTATTAATTATGTTAGTTTTTATTAAACACATGTATTATTGGTGTACACGCAAAAAATTTTATTGGAAAAATGATTTTTTTATATAAAATCAAACAAAAAAATGAACTTTTTTGCGACGAAATAAAAATCGTCGCGAAAATTGCAGTACCAACCTTTTTTGGGACGAATTTGTTACGTCGCAAATATATTTATTCAATTATTTTTTACATATTTTTAATTAAAAATATTATTTGCGACAATTTTTTTTATCGCTAAAAATTAATTAAATTATTTTTTACTTTTTTTTATTAAAATAATATTTGATATGACTTTTTTTACATCGCAAAAAATTAATTTAATTATTATTTTTTACATTTTGAATTTATTTAAAAATTATTCTCGACGCTTTTTTTACGTCGCAAAAACTTAATTAAATTATTATATTAACCATTTTTATTTATGTAAAAATTTATTTGCGACGATTTATTAACGTCGCCAAAAATTATTTTAATTAATATTTTTATAAAAAATATTTGGGCGACGATTTATTTACGTCACAAAAAATTAATTAAATTATTATTTTAATATTTTTATGTTGGGGGAATAGGTTTTAGCTACGTTTTTTTAACTTTTCGTGTGGTTTTTTTTTCGTCGCAATTTTTTTTTTTTTTTGCGATAAAAATAAATTTATGTCACAAAAGACTTTTTACGACAAGGCTATTGCGACGAAGACGCAACAAAAATAAATCGTCGCAAAAAACATTTTGCGACGATTTCTTTTAATTTAGCGACGAAAAAAATTATCGCAAAAAATGATTTTTGTTGTAGTGGATGTTTTGACTTGCCCCACCATTCTCTAGTTGTCCTCCTTCTACGTTCTAGTAGCCCTCAGGCGATATTCCGATCTACTTCTCAGCCATCATCCAGTGACATTCAGACCTGCCCCGCTATCCGATGATGACGTTTCGGTCGTCCTAGGACGATGTTCCGATCGCCTCCTGACCATCATTCGGCAACCTCTAACTGTAATTTGACAACTTTTCGGTAGTCCTCTGATGAAGTTCTGACCTACTCTACCCACCCTCCAATGACCTTCTGGTCGCCCTTCGGCAACATTCTGGCCTACTTGGTTGTCTTTCGACGACGTTTGGTTGTCCTCTAGCAATGTTTCGATCTCCTCTTGGCCATCCTCTGGCTGTCCTCCAATGACGTTCTGCTTGTCCTAAGTCAATTTTCTAATCGCCTCCCGACCATCATTTAGCGATCTCCAACTATCCTCTGACAACATTTCGGTCGTCCTCCAACGATATTCTGACCTGGCTATCCTCCGACAACATTCTGGTTGCCCTCTAGCGATATTCTAACCTTCCTGGCCATTCTCTGGTGAGGTTCTGACCTGTTCCGGCCATCCTCCGACGATGTTATGACTTTTTACATTATTTGATTTCTCACTTCTATTTTCATTATCACATTCTAGACCTTAACACAAAATAGTATTTACATTTTTGACCCCAAGCAATAAACATAAGAGACAAAACTTATGTATAGTGACCCCAGTAACCCTCTATATTTTCATATTTCAAACTAAATTTTGATTTTCTTGTCCAAACTCTATACTACAAAAAGAGTCATCACGCCTTGTTGGCTTCCAAAAGTTTAAGTATCATTAAATGTCAGACATAATACTGAAAATCAACACAATCCTATACCATAACTCCATTCGATCTCGTGATCTATTATAGCACTTCAATCTTGTTCTCATACAGTTTCATCACAAATACACCAATATGATCAATTCTATCCCAAAACTTATGCCTCATAAAAGAAAACTTTTTTTTATCATCATTCATATCTCATGACCTTCTGTAATATTGGTAAACTCATTTTCCTAAAGATTCATGCGTAGCATCCCTTATTAACCAAAAATAAATTACCATTCATTTCCTAAAATAGTCTATAATGGCATGGTAGGCAACTAGTATATCCACCCCAAATATAACAACAATTCTTTCAAGCTAGCTAAAATTTGTAATTTTGAGTAAATAAACAATCAATAACCTAGCTAAATATCAACTAACACTTATCGTATATGCAACACAGTTCCCAAAAAGATTCCGGCCTAAGTTCTTTCCATCCAATATCAAATCATTCACTGGCTAGCCTATAACCTACAACTCTCATGCAAGACCTAATTCTAAACTTTGATACCAACTTTGTCACGCCCAAATTTACAAAAATAGGTATGAACTACCTATTAACCATCAAACTATGAGAACATAACTAAATACCATAAAATTTAAATCAAAACAAATTCCAAAACCAAATAATGTTAATAATTCAATCATCAAGGTTACAACCAAAACATTTAAATAAATCAAATATCCCATCCAACCAAATAATGTCAATAACATTCATCCATCAAAAACCAAATGAACTATAAGTAGAATTCTAATCCTTGAAAACTGAATCCACATTATGCTCTCTCAAAATCCAATTCCACATGCTCACCATTTGTGGTGTCCTCCTTTCTACCAAAATTTGAAAAATGTAAGGAAATGGTGAACAAACAAGCCTAGTAAAGAAAATTTCTCAAACCTAGACAAGGTTTGAAAATGGATAAAATAGGTAGGTCTCAATTCTAACAAAATGACGTATATAACGTTTGAAATAAAACATATGACATTGTAACGATCTCAATTTTATGATACGTGAACAATTAATTCATAGTAGAATAGAATTATTTTAGAAAACAGGCAGAATATCTCAAGTAAACAAAAGATCATAACATATCTCATTTATGCAGGCTGATTAACAAGAATTCACACATCAACTATATCTAGCCCACACTCACAACCAACTCATCAATCAATTTTTCGTAGGGTCACAACACTTTAGGAAGTGCGTATATCGATGCATCGGCATTGACGAAACCTTTTCAGGATTAGTATACTAACCATTAACTTCGATCATCGTGAGTAAATAGTATTAATTCTTTTACGAGTGATAAGAAACCTTCAAATCCCTCGAGATAAGAAAATTTTCTAAACCATAGTTTTAAACCGACCCATATATCAACCCGGTAAATGGATAGGGCCAACGAGTCACTAGTTCAATCGTGAGTCAATTGGTCAAACTGGTCATATAATTAATAATAAAAAATTGTTAGTAATAATAAATATGCTTAAAGATTATAATACTTACAAAACTAGAATGTTTTATATTATAGTAAATGAACTAAAAAGACAAAAAATTTGGCCAATTCATTAATTTCCTTACACAATTGATATACTTTGATAGAGCATAAAAAAATTCACTACCTAACATTAAATATTTGGTATAAAATTGTAAATACTGACAGTGTGATGACCCCAAAAAAAAATTAAAATTAAAATTGAAAGAAAAAAAAAAGTAGTTCAAAGGTATAACAATACAGTATTAGAAAATTAGGAAGAACAACTAGGCAATTTAGAGTTGTGGACACACTACATAATCCCACATTGGAAACCCAGATGAATTGATGAGGATTTGGTGCCTATAAGACGAGTAATTCTCTTTGTTGATTGAATGGTGGACACAGTTTGATAGCTTTATAGCTTGAGTTGAGGCGAGCCAAGTGGACCAGCTTATAGTTTGAGTTGAGATTCAAACATTGAATATTTAATTAATTATCAAGACTTAAGTAAGTTAGTACGGATTGAACAGTTCTCTGGTGGGTGAATTGTTCAACCAATCGATCTAATTCAGAAATCAACCTGACTCAGGTACCAGATTGTCGGTTGGGCTGGGCTGAGTTTTAAAAGACTAATCTAAACACTTTGCGATATGCATTTAAGTGTAACCTACGCTCATCACATAATATAAGAGATAATGTCCGATCTTTCAATAAAATTTATGTATCTCACTATTCGAAATCTCAAAATTCTTAAAATAGAAGAGTAATACAATTAAAACATGCTAGAGATCGTAAAAAAGATGTATTCTAATTAACCATGTTCAAGATCTAGGAATTTTCTTAAAAAGACATACAATTTGGATGTAAATTATGCAATTTTTCCCAGAACGAATCATATAGTTGAAAAGAATGCAAATTCATTGTACATCTATCATATATATAAGAATTGGAATAAAAAAAAATGCATATACTTAGTCCTAATCCTCAATGAGTAACAATGGAAAGAAGTTGTACCTTAATTTGTAGATAATTGATCCTATAGCGTTTTGGTGAGATTACAACTCGTTAATCCTTCTAGATCTAGCTCGTTTCTCTTCTTTTCCTCAAGGCTTTCTTAGGGTTGAAAAACCATGTATAGGAACCTAAAACTCTGCCCTAAGGTGTTTATAGAGTCAAAAACGGAGAAAATGCTAAAAACTAATCGAGGTCAACTCAGAAGCGCATCTAGACGGTCCAAACTCACTGCCCGAAACTTCATAGGCGTGTCCAAATGCGCTCATTTCATCCGGGCGCAGGTGGTTTTCTACTCTAGACATCTAGATCAATTTTGACCTAGTTAGAGTTCGATTCACGAAATATTCATGAAATACACTTCTGTAGCCTTTAAAGTAGACTTTTCAATGCCACACACGAATCAGGTCAATTGAAAATTGGGTAAAAAGGTATAGTCAAAATACTGAGGTAGTGTGAAATTTCTTTCTACCCGAATTATTTCTAAAATGCATTTTAACCCGGGAACACCTGCAAACTTCTAATACATCTCATATAACTTCTCCCAAAAAATTTTCACCTCCCAGATTTAATGGTAATATTATTTTGACCTAAAAACATTTAAAAACCTACTTATCTACCCTTCTCAAGCTTAAACGCCTCTTAAACTATACTTGACTTGAAAGTTAATACGCACAAAACTCAAACTTCATGCTCATTCTTTCAACAACGACTCAAAACTCCTATCATCATTTTAAAGATATTGTTAAAATAATGTTATCCATACCTATTTATTTCATGTTGTCTCATAAGGGGATTCATTCGGTGAACTAATACCATAATACTGCTATATTTGTGTTTTTGTTGTTTTTGTTCCCAAACTATAATCACTACAAAAAATAAGGATAATATTTGTTCTAAGGGGTGGGGTGGTTGTCTCAAAATATTATGGCCAATTACCAAGTAGTTAGTAATGACCAAGAGACAGTCGGTAATCGTTATGGTAATGACAATGAATCTCCATTGTAGTAATGGGGACCCGAACTGTCGACCAAACATGGGAAGGTGTATTAATATGCAATGCACATTCTATTCTCAAGTCCATTACTCATATAAGATGGAAACTTAAGGTTTTGATCAGAATACTTTGTTTACATGAAGCATGAGTTTGTAATAAGAAATGAAAAATCTCATAGAAAATAGTGAGTAAAAAGGAAGTAAAGGAGCCACAATAACACGCACACACACACAATCCCCCCCCCCCCCCTCCAAAAAAAAAACAAAAACAATAATAATAATAATGTAACACCACATCATAAACGGGTTTTCGAATATGAGAAAACAAATTGTCACACTTTGCATCAGGTATGGCAACTGATCAACTGGGAAGAAGTTAGGGATACCTTACTAAGAAGAGAAGGCTACAATGTCTGGGTCTTGTTGAAAGTGGATCATGTCTTGTTCATTCAAATTCACCCATGCTTCAATGCCTTCCCCACAATTGGTGTCCAACAGGAATACTAGTTCTGCAGGACAGCTTATTAGACTTACCCAATTCGGCTTCCCCCATCCGAAATCAGCTTTATAAAGCGGAAACCTACACCAGCTACTAAAACCTCTCACATCAACCTCGCTGTTGCACAATCCTCCCAAGCACTCGTTACAGATGTTTTCCAACATCTGCATAACCTCATTACCATTCAGGACAGGTAGTTTTGTGAACTTAGCAATGGCATCTCTTGTTTCATCTCGTATCAAACCCACCAAGTCATGTAGCTCCATCTTGTTCTCGTCTGCTTTGAATCGAGCAATGGCAGCCAAAACAAAGTTTCCCACTAAAATCTCTGGCAATGGTGGGACTGTTTTCCCCCTCAAGTTCACAATTTTGATGAGCAATGAATCCCTCAAGTGCCCATGTTTTGCTCGAGCTGCATTCCATACCATTAGTTTGGATCTGAGCTAGTGCTTGAGCATTAGCTTTCAGCTTTGTTATTGCTGCACCGTTAAACACAAACCTCCTCGTGACAACATTGATTTCTGGGTTGCAGAGGACTAGAGAAATATCTTGACCAGTAATTGGTGGAAAGAGAGAACCCAAATCAAAATTTGGTTGATGAATGGTTTCATTGGCCACCTCTGCTTGGCTTGAACTTGCCCATGTAATAATAAAAGATGCAACTGCAGATGCATCAGTGATCTTGTGTGAAAAGTAGAGGCCAATGGCCAATCCGCCGCAATTGAAGCTGTTGATTTGGATTGCTAGTAAAGGACTCGTGACAAGATTAAGTATATCTATCTCTATATCAGATGGAAGGAGATGATTTAGCAGCTCAATTTTGGGTTCTAAGAGGAATTCATCAAGCTTACAGCCCACTTGGGCTTCCAAATATGCCACCCCTTCATCATTACATTCAATCGAGAGATTATCAGTATTAAATCTCCCAGCTAGTGGGTAAAATGTGGTTAAGGCCGCCGATAATGATCTCTCCAAGTGGGCACGTCTTTGGGCGTTTTCGCCTATGTCGCCATTGGCAGAGTAATGGAGGACTAGGGGGGTGTATGATGGAGGAGCCAACTGATCAAACACGGATATCTTCTTTTGGCGAAGTTGATGTGGAGTTGGAACGGATGGCTTAATCAACTTCCTTGATAGGATTTCTAGCTTCATTGCACCTTGCTTTTCAGGTATATAACTTCAAAACTTTCCCCAGCAACTTCAGCCTGTAAATCTTCTTTTCAAGTATGTGGGGGATTGTATTATGTATCTGATCTTGGAAGAAGAATATGCAGAAGATTGAACGCAGACTTTGCATTTATACACGAGCTTTTTACCAAACCCTGGTGGTTTTTCCCACTTGCCTAATTCTATATTTCCCATTGTGCAGAAACGTGGCCAACTTAAAAGAACACAAGTTGATTCCATGAATATTAAACAAAAAGTAGTGATTTGCTGTTACTAGTTGGCTTCATGACAACCAAATACAAGGTACTAATTTTCTACAATCTCAACGCTGGATTGGATCATCATTCAAGGTAATGATATAGTTTTATTATAGTCGTTAGAAGTAATTATTAGGAAGTTATTTTAGTAAGTGGGGTAATGATAAAGAATTTGTGGGTAGTTTTTAAGGTTGTTATCTAGGTAATAGGGTAAATGATAGGGGTCTCAATTTTATTCGTTAACACGAATTTGATACGAATTCGACCCAATACAAAACTCGAAAATAACATGATTAGTTGACACGAGTAATAAATTTGTCAAATTAAAGTTCGACATGAATAACACGATTAATGGGTATTGTAGATAGAAAATAATTATTTAACGAGTATTGTAGATAGAAAATAAGAATTTTTAAATTTTTTTTAAATAATTTATATAAGTTGTTGTTGAATTAAATGTGGAACATGAAATTCAACCTATAAATCCAATTCTTTCAATGTTTGATGGTACTCATAGTAAATTCAAAAAATACAATAAATTAAGTCAATAAATTATGTTTAACGGTATTACTCCTCTTCTTTTGAGCGTTCAAGTATGCAACCTCTTCATCATTACAATCATATCGAGAGTTTCGTTTTTATAAAATTGAGACGGATCATTTTTATTTTCTGATTGAATGTTTGAAATTTAGATGTTTAGAAATGTTACAGAAGGGTTAATGGTGCTTTGACATGTACTTCTAAATATTGTATAAAGAAATTTCTAGTTTTTGTCTTCTATTTCTATTCGATCTGGTTGATCTACTTGAATTAGATTTGAATTATGGTACGTAATTTTATAACATTAATGCTACACTGACCAAAATAAAAAAATAAAAAAAAAGAATGACTAAATGATATGGCACCTGACATGGATGGTTGATTAGGCTCAACGTCAGCCGCCATGTCATTTAGTCACTCTTTTTTGTCCCTAATTTTGATCAAAGTAGCATTATTATACATTGTATATACGTAGCTTATGTACAAAAGGAGAGGCGAATCAAATCACATGCACGAGGGGATTGTTTTTTACATATCAAACAGTTAAATCTCATAACTAGTGGGATTGTTGAATTATTTATATACAAATAAATCCCTCGACTGTTGGGATTGAAACAATATAAGGGAAATTTTTTTTTTTTGCACATGTAGAATGTCATGTCCAGTGAATTTCCAGAGTGTCGGTCTAGTGGATTTCCAAGAAATTCCTGTATTTGAACCTACGTAATTATTTTAAGGGTGTGTGCGTGAGTTATAAGGTCTCCACTCACTACTGCTTTTTAAGTAGTAGTGTTTGGTTGATCTCAAATAAAAAAAAAACCTACGTAATTATTTTAAGGGAGGTATTTTAATTTTTTTTTAAAGCATGGAGGTTTAGTGCATTTTTAAATAAGTATGGAGGTTAAGGCCACTTGTTCCCCTCACTTTTCGATCACTTTAAATAAGCTACCTTGATTTTATTTAATTTACCACATTTGCCCCCTCTAAATTTTTAAATTTTTTTAAAAATCTAATGATGTGACAGTGATAAAGTATGAACACAAGTGAGTATAAAGTATGAATACTTGAAATAAATAATGCGTGGAAAACCTTGTAAAACAATTTGTAAAATAAGTGTGTTCATATTGATAGTGAGGATTGAAAGGATGACCAATAGTTGGTAGAGCTTCTATGCTTGTTGAGATAAACTTGTCTACGCTCGATTCTCTTAAGACCTTACAGTGATTTATTTCATTTATCGATTCTTTTTTATCATCGTATTAAACTTTTAATTTTTTTTTTAAGAACGGAGGTTAAGTGTGGATTGTGGAATTCAACCTATAAATCCAATTCTTTCAATATTTGATATACTCATAGTCAATTCAAAAGATACAGTGAATTAGATCAATAAATTATGTTTAATGAGATTACTCATCTTCCTTTGAACTTTCAAGTATGCAACCTCTTTCATCATTACAATCAAATCAAGAATTACGTTTTTTTATAAAATTGAGACGAATCATTTTTATTTTTTGATTGAATGTTTGAAATTTAGATGTTTAGAAATGTTTCAAAAGGGTTAACGGTGCTTCGACATGTACTTCTAAATATTTTATAAACAAATTTCTAGTTTTTATCTTCTATTTCTATTCGATCTGGTTGATCTACTTGAACTAGATTTCAATTCTAGTACGTCATTCTATAACAATAATGTTATACTGATCAAAATTAGGAACAAAAAAGAATGACCAAATGATATGGCAGCTGACGTGGACGGTTGATTGGGCTCAACGTCAGCCGCTATGTCACTTGGTTATTCTTTTTAGTCCGTAATTTTGATCAAAATAGCATTAATATACATTGAATATACGTAGCTTACGTACAAAAGAAGAGGCGAATCAAATCACATGGACGAGGGGATTGCTTTTTACATATCAAAGAATCAAATCTCATAACTAGTGGGATTGTTGAAGACAATAATCCTATTTATATACAAATAAATCCCCTCGACTGTCGAGATTGAAACAATATAAGGAAATACAAATATTTTGCACATGTAGAATGTCATTTTCAGTGAATTTCCAGAGGGTCGGTCTAGTGGATTTCCAAGAAATTCTTGTAGTTGAACCTACGTAATTATTTTAAGGGAGGTATTTTAATTTTTTTTAAAGCATGGAGATTAAGTGCATTTTTAAATAAGCATGGAGGTTAAGGCCACTTGTCCCTCTACCTTTTCGATCACTTTAAATAAGCAACCTTGATTTTATTTAATTTACCACATTTGCCCCTCTAAATTTTTAATAATTTCTATAATGGTCTTAGTTTTTTCCTTTAATTTAAGTAAATTAGTATTGTCCCCTAAAATGAGTGTTTTATTTTTTTGGGCTGAGTAAACCAGATGTAAAATATGATGATTTATTTGTATATTGGCCAAAAATAATACTTTCTCCTCTATTCAACACACAGTTCCTAATTTTTAAGAACAATTTTATAGTTTTTATTTACTATTTTTTGGCAAGTTTTTATGTAAATTGCAAAATGTTAAAACCCAAAAGCATTTTAGGTTATTTCATAAAATAAATTTTCAACAAGATCGAGGTGAGAAATTTAGCTTATAATTAACCAGTTGTAATTTTTTTTTGTAAGAATTTTGAAAATGTATGTTCCACTTTGATACAAGATTGGGTTGAAACGTGTTAAAAAAAGTCTTTTTTTTTACTTAGATTTTGTTTAGACTAAACAAAAACTAGTTTTAATGTTTTATATAAAAATTTTGAGGCTATTTGATAACACTATATAAGATTTAAAATTGAATACTAAGCACTTAATGAATTAAATTCGTTTGATAACCTAAATTTCATATCACTTTATATCTTAAGCACTTCTTAAAAATATGTTAAAATTTTAAGCAGTAAGTCACCTACTTATCACTTGATGCTAAAAATTTTAGTCAGTAAAGATTTTATTAATTTCTCATAATTGACAAATATACCTTCAATGCATTTTATAATCTAAACTTTTTAAGATCAATTGCAAATTGCACTTCGAAAGATCTCTCGAGGCTTAATTTGTACCCTCAAATATATAAATCTGTATCAATGTGCACCTAAAATTAACAGCCGTCACTTTGCAGTCTATGGGTAAGTTACACTTAGACTTTTTAAATTTGTCACTTAATCACTGGACCCCCTCATTTTTAGAATATTACACATATATCTCCTGACGTTTATGCGTCCATAACACATAACCCTCTATCGTCAATATTCGTTAATGTAACCATTCATAAATATTATGTCATCCTAATAAACAACTATAATTTCTATATTATCCTTTATTTTGTGACCTCATTGTATTTTAAAGTTTAAAATCAAGTTTACCATTTAAATACCCAATATAATACATGTATTATTTAATGTTCCAGAGTATTGGTATTATATAATATTCTTTATATCCAATAAATATATCATTTGAACAGAATTATTTGGATGCTCAATTGGGAGAATACTTTTAGTCATATTTAAATTTTTAGGGGGTGTAGTTATAATATTTTAAATGTGAGGAGGTCTAGGTGATTAAGTGACAAACACAAATATTCGTTATTTTTTTGACAAAAAATGTCAATGTTTATGAGGGAAAGTGAAACTAAATAACAAAATTTAAGGTAGGAGTGACAATTTTATTTATTCACACGAACGAAACTTAAAAATGACACAATCGATTTGACACGAATAGTAAATGAGTTAAATTAAAGTTAAACATGAATAACATTATTAATTAACACGGTAAGCACAAAATAATTATTTTAATTTGTTTAAATTTTTTATATAATATTATACAAGTTGTTTTGTAATTAAATTATTTCTATATTGGCACAAATATTACAAGAATAAATCAATAGGGCTTTAGTTTAATGGTACTCATTGCGGAGGTCTAGCCTTCCTAATTATGCCTTTACGACCTGATAAAGAAGTGCTTGTGTGCCTGATGGAGCTAATACTTCCTCTACTTGTGTCCACAGTTGCTATTCTGCAATCAACTATTCCTGACTGTTGATTATATTTAACAGTTGATCAAGCGAGAATCAACGGTGATGAAGCTGTACACCACTATACCAAAACTCAAACCCTGCAACCAACAGTCCAACACCAAAGATTTCTATGGGAAACCCTTAACTCTAACCCTAATCTTTCGTCAATTTCTATGGGAAAC